CAATAACAGTAACAACAGCTTTTTGACAAGTTTAAAATTTCTTTAAAATACATTCAAAATGTTTAAAAATAAACTACAAAAATTAGTTTAAAGTGCAAATTAAAATATAGTTGTATCTGCAACTGTATTTGATAATGTTTTGAACTTTTAAAATATTGCATGGTAGAACCAGAGACTGCACTTCATATTAGTGACAAACTTTGGTGTTTTTTTTGAAGGGTTACCTTCATTTTTGCTTCTACTTTTCATTTAAAATAGGTTTCCATTATCGGCTTCTTCTTCTAATTATTAAAAAAGTTGTTAAACAACTGGGTAGCGTACTACCGCTACTAGCRGGGACAAAGTGTATTRCACYTTATTCAAAATGAATGCAGTCCCGCGGCCCTCTGCKGCCCAAAGTTAAAAAMTGTTGTTCTTTTAAGGCCCTCAAGGTGGCACTCRTGGCCCAMAATTGGGCYGCGGCCCAYAGGTTAAGAATCTYTGCTTTAGACCAAGCGAGGCTTTACAGGTGTTTTTAACTAACTGGACCATCACACCATCAACGTTATGTTTTAAATTCAAACAAATGAATCATAAAGTCTGACAGAGTTTTTTTATTTTTTATTTTYATATTTTTTTAATTGTTTAAGCATGTTTCACATTAAGTTGACTCATGCATAATGTGTTTCCTAGTTGATGACTAAGTACTYTCAAGCAGGAACCAGATGGACAAGAAAGGCATAAAACTACATTAACATACTTTAAAACAAACACATTTGAAATATGAAGTATAATAATGCTTGCCTGGCTGGCCTCTTACCACAACTCGTCAGTGAGTAAAACGCTCGTAGTTTTACTTTAATAGTATTTCTGTATGTATTTCACATTTAGGCAGTCATACACATAGTATTTTTAGTGTTTATAAGCCACGTTGAAACATTGGGCCTCATGCAAGAGCATGTTTGTATTCTTATCCTAAATTTCTCTTACTTTTGTTCGTACAAAGGGTTCGTACGAACATGTYACGTCAGATTCAACAAACTCTTCTATCTTCAGGAAAAGTGTGTAAATGAGCTGCGTAAACTGATGAATGCGTATCAGCTGCTCGCGCACGAGGAGAGATTAGCATAATTACCACCCTAAAAATACCATATAAGGCTACGTTTCCTGCCCCACATACCAGGAAGTGTTCATTCATATATGGCATCGCAAAGCAAAAAGAAAAACTTTACGAGTTCTGAGACTGAAGTTCTGCTCTCAGAGATCCAGAGAAGGAAATCTGTAATTTTTAGCAGCATCAGCYGTGGAATTAAAGGAGCTGCCAAAACCGAGTAAAGAAATGACGACTACTGTTAATGTTGTGTCACCTGTGGGTCGCATACAGTCACAGAAATAAAAATATAAATCATATACATCTGCCTCTAGTCCTGCTCCGGTTGTCCTTTGGTCAAATATTTTTAATATATTGCATAGCTTCCATGTATTCAGAAGAAGAGCAGTTTCTGAATAAAAGCTTTTTAAAATATCTCCAACCTTCAATTAATGCATAATTTAAGTTGGTTTGTAGTTTGAGATCTTCATATTAATATTGTAGTGTTATACAACAGCATTAATAACAATTTAATTGAATTTAACCAATTTATGTTGTTATTAATACATTTAAAATTATAATTCCAGTTCAAACAGAATAACCTATTGTCAACATAATTATGGAGTGTAATTTATTTTCAACTCAACATATCTTC